ACCGTTTGATGGGAAGGGTTCGCCCACTCAGCATTTGATCTACTTCAAGTCCCACTTGGGCATGATCTTCAGCAATAAAGCTTTGATGGTTCGGTCATTCATCGGTACCCTTCGGGGGTCGGCATTCGATTGGTACCGTCGTCTCAAGCCCGAAAGTATTAACAACTGGGACGATATGGAGAGCTCATTCCTCAGCAATTTCTTTGATAACGATGACGAGGTATCCATCAGGACACTTTTCGATGAGAAACAAGAAGATGACGAGACAGTCAACGACTTCGTCAAGCGCTTCCGGAATAAAGCAATGAACTGCCGAGATCCGATCACGGAGGACTTCATCCTCCAGACATGTCATAGCAACCTATCTATTGAGATATTGGAAGTTATGGGAGTCGCACCGTCCAACACTTGGAAAGAGTTGAAGATGTGTGGAGAGAGGGCCGGACACTTCCTCCAAAGGAAGAAGGCCGAGAGGAGCCAACCGATGGCTAATCCTCCCAACTCGAACTTCGCCTCCCTTGGTAAGAACAAGGTACCTGCAACTGCTGTTGGTACTAATCAAACGTTGCAACAACAACCCCGAAGACAGCAAAAGACTTTGGATCCGAAACTCCAAAAAGAGTATTCCTTCAAGGACAAAGACGTTCCAGTCATCTTCGAATCCCTCCTTGAAAACAACAAGATCAAGCTACCACCTATTACAAATCAGGAGGAAGCTGACAATACTGCGGATCCAAAATATTGTGCGTACCACAGGAGGGTCCTTCATCCTACCAAGGATTGCTTTGCTCTCAAGAATAGCATCCAAACATTGGTTGAAGCCGGCCTTATATCGCTCAATTAAGCCGAATGAAGACTCCGATAAGTATAAGAGTATAAACTGCTCCTTCCTACACTCCAAAAAGTATACGAATATAAACTGCTTCTCGGTCATCCAACTAAGTACAATGTTAAACCTAGTTTCGCAAAGAAAGCTGGGGGTGGATGATTTATGTAGCGAGAAGTTCCTAGAGAATCTTATATTCTTAAGGATAACCCGAACATGTGTCTGAGGATAACGTACTCCTCGTTACACCCAGTTTGCAAAGAAAGTTGGGGGTGGATAATTCATGTAACGGGAAGTTCCCGAAAGAATGTTAAATGTAATATTCTTAGGGATAATCCGATCATTATGAACAAAGTGATAAACACTAAACTCCTATTATGATTTCCGAACACTCTTTTGCTGAGATGAGATTCGATCACTTCATTGGATCAATTTTCCCTCACAAAACTCTCATTGGTGTTTGACGACTCATAGTCTCCCACCACAGAATCCCCCACCGATCAGACTAATTGACGGTGGGACTACCAAAATTCTTTCTTGTTTAATCCATTCAAACTTCCGCTATGTCTGTGCACTCAACACTTTCATGTTTAGAGTCCGGATATAATGCTTAGAAGTTTGATCTATCAATCCTTGATGAATTGACAAGCCCCTTCGTGTTAAGTCCTTATCACTTAACACCAAGAACCCCTACTGAGTGATTTGTACAAGTCAACACTCCCACTATAGTTTGTACCCCCACTCTCGCTGTCCACTTGGTCAAACCTTCTTACAGTTAGGACCACAGTCAAAATCTCCTCTTGATTCCTTCCATGAACGAGAGGTCCACTTTCAAATCGAGTGATCAAACATTCCTACAGTTAGGATCACCTCAAACTCTCGCTTTGTCAAACCTTCCTACAGTAAGGACCAAAACCATAATTCACTCTCGATAAACGAGAAATTTACTTTTAGTTTGGTAATCAAACCTTTTGACAGTTAGGATTATCCGAATTTTTCGATTCTCGGAGTGGAGATCCCACTCCTAGTTTCACCTTTCCGGATTCTGGGGTGGAGATCCCACCTCGAGTCTCCTTTCCAACTGGATATAGAATATAAAATTCTTCCTCTTCAGCTTTGGGAGATAGAATATAAAATTCTTCCTCTCCCGTATCGGGTTCGTCTTTGCCCCAGGAGAAGACATCATATTTCCAAACTCCTAAAATCTGTGCTTCACACGTATGGGGAATTTTATCCCGAATCCTGAGTAGGGATAAGTCAACGCCTAACACACGTTGCCGTTTTAGTATTTCACCGATTGAAAAAGACACCAGAATCCAGTCTACGGTATTTTATCCCGAAGCCTAAGTAAGGATAAATCAACGCCTAACCCGCGTTTCTGGGTGGTTCATTCCCGTAAAAACGACCGAGTCTACGTATTCAACATCGTAGCAACAAAAATCCATGCCTTTTATGCATGAGGAATTTTATCCCGAATTCTGAGTAGGGATAAGTCAACATCTAACACGTGTTGCCGGTTTAGTCTTTCACCGATTAAAAAAGACACCAGAATATCAGTCTGGGGTATTTTATCCTGAAGCCTAAGTAGGGATAAGTCAGCGCTTAACCCATGCTGTTGGGTGGTTCGTTCCCGTGAAAATGACCGAGTCTACGTATTCAACATCATAGCAACAAAAATCCATGCCTTTTACGCATGAGGAATTTTATCCTGAATCCTGAGTAGGGATAAGTCAACGCCTAACACGCGTTGCCGGTTTAGTCTTTCACCGTTTGAAAAAGACACCAGAATCCGAATCTGGAGACTTTTATCCCAAAGCCTAAGTAGGGATAAGTCAGCGCCTAACACGCGTTGTCGGGTAGTCTATTCCCGTGAGAAAGACGAAGAAGTCTACGTATTTAATATCGTAGCACTAAAAGAGTTAACTCTTTTAGCATAACGTTACATGCGAAACGGACTTAAACAATCCGCATGCAAGCCCGATTCAAACGGTAATCGGTAAAGGCACCTGAAATCTGTTAAAGGCTGAGGATTTGCCAAAAATCTAAGTCAGCGTCTAACACACGTTACCGGGTAGTCTATTCTCGTGAGAAAGACGAAGTCTACGTATTCAATATCGTAGCACTAAAAGAGTTAAATCTTTTAGCAGAACGGGTCTAAACAATCTGCATGCTAGCCCGACTCAAACGGTAGTCGGTAAAGGCTAATCAAACCCGTTGATGGCTGAGAATTTGCCAAAAATTCTATAAATGTGAGTCATTGACGTATCAGCTTCATTAGTTGGTCTCGTGATTTGAGCATACAACGACTTCGCGATAAGATCCATATCTGCAAACGAAACAACTTTAATAGTTGGTCCTGCAGCCTAAAATTTGGGATTGCCATGCTCCAATGCCTTAAGAGCTTAAACTGTGTATACTCCAACAAACATACGAGTATAAACTGTGTTAACGCCAATCAACGCGTTGCAATGAAAGTTAATGCCAATAAATACAAAACCCTAAGGTCAATGCCGAGCAACGCGTAGCCCTAGGTCAACGCTGGTCAACGCGTTGCGACAAAGATAATCAGTTCAAAGTCAACTCAATGACATGAGCCAAAACTAACTCACCAATTTCGATTTAAAACTTCGATAACGGTCAGATGATAAACGCAGCGCCGCAAGAACTTTATCTATTCAACAAAGCACTGGATAGACTGAAGGCTGAGGAAGTTAAGAATTGAAACGGTTCACAGGTCCTTTGACACCGACTAAAGGCGGGGGACTATTATATCCAAAGCATTTCAGACTCCTCCATAAAAGAATGAGTCTGAAATACTTTGGAGGGGGTATCTATAGGCGTCTAAAAATACCTATAGGTATCCACGCACGGCTCGAGAAAGAGAGAATGTGATGAATGCCACTATCTAAGTCTAAGAGGATTATCCGATGCCGATGAACACATGAAGCGAAACGGCGAACCGAATAGCCTATACACTCATCGACCACCTCCAAGTGGCTCGTGTACTCACCAGCCACCAAATCAACGAACCAAGTGGCCCGCACGCTCATCGGCCATCAAAACAGCGTACAGATCAACGAAACGACGAAATACGTGTAATGAGTGTACTCACCAACCACCAAATCGGCGAACCAAGTGGCCTGCGTGCTAATCGGCCACCTCCAAGTGGCCCGTGTACTCACCAACCACCAAATCAGTGAACCAAGTGGCTCGCACGCTCATCGGCCACCGACAAACTATCCATGCGTTCGCGAAACTAATCGGGAAAGCGTACAAGTCAACAAAATGATAAAATACGCGTAACGACGAAACAAGTCAAAACTCGAAAAACAGATAAAGCCCCTGGCGATCGAGTCGCGCCAAAGTGACCCGGCCAGACCAGTAGCTTGGCCAGTGGCTCGGTCAAGGCCAAGCCACCATTTGGTGGCTCGGCCAAGGCCGAACCACCATTTGGTGGCCCGACCAGGCCGAGCCACTAGGTGACTGTTCGGTCAAGAGTTGGTTTTTTCGGTTCTTTTATGAATTCTTTCGGGATTTTGGGTTCCAACTGCTCTGATATTGTTGTTATACAGTTACTAACTGAAGATAAAGGGAATCCCTCATTTTGAGCTGAAGAAACCATCAACCAAGCCTATAAATAAGAGCTCTAGTGTTCATTTTTTTAAGGAGGAGAGCAAGAGGGTGAGGTGCTGCCGGTTTCTCAAGTGCATAGCCACGAATTTCAGAGAGGTTTAGCAGATCTTGGCGATTTTCTGTGCATAAAGAGTGGAGTTCGAGAGATCTGAGACCCGTCCCCCATTCCTCCGGATTTAAGCTTGGTCTTAAATCCCGAGAAGAGCCGTGATTTTGCTTAGTCAAAATCGCCGCTACTGTAATTACTTCCTTCGTGAAGTGAGAGCATTGATTATCCAACTTCTGCTAACCGGATCTGATCCGCGGTGATCCACGGATATTAACGTCCCCAACACAGGCAAAGAACCTACACAAGCAGCGGGTGATAAATGTCTGTTATGCTGTTTGACAAGAGTTGTAATCTTTATTTTTATTGTATAAAGGAGATCTTATAAAAAGATTAATTTTTTTATTTGAGTTTATTATAATGACCAAAGTTGTAATAGATTCGATGACAATGAAAACATCAACTTTTGACCCAAACAACGACCATGTGGTTTATATGGGGGGAAGAAATATGCGCTCTCATGGTGGTGGTGTTAGAAAGGCCTCGGTCTTGGTGACTCGGATTCTCTGTTTTGTGGAGGAAGATGATAGAGTTAGAGGTCTCTCCCGTGACATTGTCATCCCTTCCAATTGACCTTCTGCTTGGTATCCCCCTGCTCCTGGTTTGCTGAAGCTCAACACAAATGCTAATGTTACTCTGGAAGGAGATACTACTGATTTGGGAGGTGTTATTCGGGATCACCATGGACATGTGATTGGTTGCTACTCTATGGGGATCAGGGGTTTTATATCTGTGGATCATGCGGAGTTGTTGGCTGTTCCAGAAGGCATTCGTTTTGTTCGACGTGTGAACTAGAGGATTTCAGTGGTGGAAATTGACTCTCTAAAGGTCGTCTCCTTGGTGGACTCTCCTTCTCTTTTTGCTTCCTTAGCTCCTTTAGCAGATGAAGTTCGTGCTGGTCTAACTATTACCGGTTGCTCTAAAGTTTCTTATGTAAGGCGTATTGGTAATGGTGTTGCTCATTCTCTAGCTAAGTCGGTTGACTGCTTGTCCTCTTATTTTTGGTATGTTCATATCCCTTTGTTTTTGATACAGAGTGTTGTTGAGGACTTGGCTGGTTAGATTACCCTACCTGCCTACCAAAGTGAATACCAATTACCAAACAACAAAAAAAAAGTACTATCGGACTGAATTTCCTATAACACTTTCTTTGGTTTTTTTTTTCAACCAAACAACCCAAAAACCTTTTGAAACTCGATTATTAAGTGCCTAAAGTTTTGTTTTATATAAAGCTCTCCAAATTCTAGGGACATTGGTGAATTGTACCGGGCTCAGAAGTAATTTATTTGGGGCTTCTGTGAAATTTACCCCAAATGAACCCTTTTGCGTGCTCCCCAAACAAATTCGGACACAGACGCCCACTCCCGTCAATCCTACTAGCCCACGTGTTTCCAATCGCTAACTCCGTAGACGATCGCAACAAAATCCAAACGCCATAAAAATCACAGAAATTCCCTCAACTCTCTTCCCCCGTTCTCCTCCCCTGTTCAAAGGCCAGAACCGCCGTCCTCCATCAACCGACCTTGCGCCTTCTCCAAGGTTCCGCCCTTCCTTAAATACCCCCGCTCTCAAATTCCTCTCTCAGATCCCCAATCCGATTCTCCTTCTCTCTATCTCTCTCTAAAACCCTCTTTTTCTCTCTGATCCGAAATTAACGGACCTAGGGCTTGAATCGTAACGGACCTAGGGCTTGAATCGGGTCGGATCCGCTTCAAACCTCGACAATGAGCCGCACGACCGAAGATCGCCCGCCCGATCCCACCCCAGCCCGCCAGCAATGGGTCCCACGCCTCCTCCTCCTCATCCTCCTCGGCCGATGCCGCTCCCCTTGCTTCGCAACTCCTGCTGCTCCGATTCGAAACCCGCGGTCGTCCACCACAGCGACCAAACCCTAACCCTAGCCCTAACCGGCGCGGAACATCAGCGACGCGCCGATCTGTGGCAGCCCTCGTCGGAGATCCGCCAGCTGGTGCAGGGATCCAGACAGCTCTCTCGAGACGCGTTGAGTGATGATCTGCTACGACATGCGTCGTCGCATCGTCGCCAGATCTGGTCCTGCTCCAATGACTTCTCAATCTTCCACCTCTCACTGCATTCCCGGCAAAGTGGGCCCGGTCACCTGACGTCCAACTCGGAATCATCGCATCCTCCTCCGCCACGCCGCTGGCGGTGCCCGGTTGCCAGTCGCTCAGTCCACCCCCGTCAGAGACCTCGGCGTACTCCTGCTGCTGCGGCCGAGGTGAGCACCCGCCCAACGACTTCCTACGCTGCCCCCACTCCTGCGTCGAGGCCTGCGGCAGGCCGCTTGGACCGGGGCGCAGAGCCCGAGGCATGGGATGCGCGGGCCACACTTGATTCGTGCTGCAGTGCACCGAGGGCCGTGCCCGCCGTGCAAGGCCTTCGCGCCCCAGGCGAGCCGTGCCCATGCAGGAAGAAAGACCATCGTAGCGGCGTGCTGCGGACGGTCGACTGCCGCATGACCTGCCCGCGGCAGCGGTGTGCGACCGGCTGCTCTCGTGTGGAAGGCATCGCGTGCGAGAAGGCTCTGCCATACTGGGTCGTGTAGCCCTTGTAGGGTTGCGGTCACAGCAGCTTGCTTTTGTGGGAAGAGGACTGAGGTGGTCATTTGTGGGGATATGCCGTTTGAAGGGGAGATCAGGAAGAAAGGCGGGGTTTTCTCGTGCAATTCGAATTGTGGGCGAGTTTTATCTTGTGGGAATCATCACTGTCCGGAGAATTGCCACCCAGGTCCCTGTGGAGATTGTGAACTTTTGCCGGAGAAGATTAGAAGTTGCTGTTGTGGGAAGACGAAGCTGATGGAGGAGAGGAAGAGTTGCTTGGATCCGGTGCCGATTTGTTCTAATACTTGCGAGAAGTTGCTGCATTGTGGGATTCATCGATGTGGGTTGGCTTGCCATGAAGGGGAATGTCCCAAGTGTTCCGTGAAAGTTAAGCAGAAATGTCGATGTGGTTCGTCTCAGAGGACCGTTGAGTGCTACAGATCCACAGAGGAGAAGGATAGCTTTGTGTGTGAGAAAACCTGTGGAAGGAAGAAGAACTGCGGGCGCCATCGCTGCAATGAGCGATGCTGCCCGCTAGCAAAATCAGGCAGTATGCAAATTGATGGGGGTTGGGATCCTCATCTTTGTGCAGTGCCCTGTGGCAAGAAGCTCCGATGTGGGCAACATTCTTGCCCGCTGCTTTGCCACAGCGGCCACTGCCCACCTTGTCTTGAGACTATCTTCATCGATCTCACTTGCGCTTGTGGTAAGAGTTCAATCCCTCCGCCGCTTCCCTGTGGAACTCCGTCCCCTTCATGTCCTCATCCATGCTTAATCCCTCAACCCTGTGGCCACTCTGCCTCCCACACTTGTCATTTTGGGGATTGCCCACCTTGTTCTGTCCCCATTGTTAAAGAATGCATTGGTGGTCATGTCCTCTTGAGAAATATCCCTTGTGGTTCGAAGGATATAAGATGCAATCAGCTCTGCGGCAAGACCCGGCAGTGTGGACTGCACGCTTGTGCTCGCACTTGCCACCCCCCTCCTTGTGATCCTCATATGACTGCTGATTCTGGTTCGAGGTCTTCTTGTGGGCAAACTTGTGGCACTCCGAGGAGGGATTGCAAGCACACTTGCACTGCTTCGTGCCATCCTTTATCTCCTTGTCCAGATTTGAGGTGTGAGTTCCCTGTGACAATTGCTTGTTCTTGTGGTAGGATCACGGCTACAGTGCCTTGTGGTGTTGGAGGGAGCGTGAGTGGGTTTAATGTCGATTCGGTGTTTGAAGCTTCTGTGATGCAGAAGCTACCGGTTCCTCTTCAGCCCGTGGAAGGAAATGGGAAGAAGATACCTCTTGGACAGAGGAAATTGACTTGTGATGAGGAGTGCGAGAAGTTAGCGAGGAAGAAACAGCTTGCGGAGGCATTTGACATAAGCACCCCAAATCTAGACTCTTTACATTTTGGGGAAAACTCATCTGCAACTGATTTGCTTGCTGATATCTTTAGGAGAGAGCCTAAATGGGTGTTGGCGATAGAAGAGAGGTTCAAGTATTTAGTGCTCGGAAAGGGTAAAGGAACTACATCAACCGGTCTCAAAGTACATGTCTTCTTTCCTGTATTAAAAGAAAAGAGAGATGCAATTCGTTGTATAGCGGAAAGATGGAAGCTTTCAGTTCACGCAGCAGGATGGGAGCCAAAACGATTTCTTGCGGTTCATGTCACACCGAAATCAAAACCTCCTGCCCGAATCATCGGATCGAAGCCTGGTGTACCAGTCACGGCTCTTCACCCTCCAACATTCGATCCTTCAATCGATATGGATCCAAGACTTGTGGTCGCAATGCTTGATTTGCCAAGGGAAGCAGATATAAGTGCTTTGGTCCTGAGGTTTGGGGGAGAATGTGAACTGGTTTGGTTGAATGATAAGAATGCGCTGGCAGTTTTTAGTGATCCAGCGAGGGCAGCGACTGCGCTGAGAAGATTGGATCATGGATCGGTTTACCAAGGGGCTGTTGCCGTTCTTCAGAACAGTGGGGGTTCTTCAGGGGGCAACGCTTGGGGAGGAGGAGGGGCTAGAGAAGGAGGAGCTACTGCTGCTGTTAAGAGTCACAATCCATGGAAAAAAATTATTGCTCAAGAATCAAATCCGATTTTGACATCGGGGAACAGATGGGATGTTCTTGATTCGTCTGTTTCTGAACCTATGGAGGTTAGGGAATCAGCTGCTCATGATGGTGATGGTGGCGATAGTAAATCAGGAGTCGGGGTTTCGGCTTCTACATTGCAAGTTCCTGATGGAGAAGTGGATGATTGGGAAGAAGCTTGTGAGTGAGAGGATTTACTTGAAGTAGAGCTTCTTTGGATCCTTTTTGTTCTGTTTTTGGCTTGTTCATTGATCATTTCTCCCCAGAATCATTACTGGAGGTAGTTTTGAGTTTATACATGTTCTACATTCTCTCTTCTTGCTGGACTAGTTTTCTGTCGGCAAGAGGTAAGTCACATTTTGATTTTTGTTAATATGTGTTTTTATCTGGATATCATTCTGTTAGTATATGTTTTGAGTCTGTTGATGTATATGATAACAACCAAGGTTATGCAATAATGCAACATGGATGGAATCTGGTGACACAGGAAAATACATGTTAGTTAAACCAAATAAATTGTTCTATAATCATTTTGGTATAAGATCCTTGATGTCAATGTATACCTGTTCACATATGGAGATGATGTGATTTTAAAACGTAATCGCCCGGTTATCCCAAAAAGGGAACTTTTAACACTGGACTGAAAAAGGAAACTGTGTCTACTACTTGGAATTTTTTTAAGATCTGAAATCCTATATTATGAAGGTAAATTATTATGGATAGGAATACTCCCCACAGATTAATAGAACTCTTGCAATATCAGAACACAAACAACAGCAAATTTCAGGATCCTTTTTTTCCTAAAGGAAGTGAGTGATTAAATATCCTATATAAATAACT